TAAATATAATTTGCAAAGAGAAAAGGCAAGGCCAGCCCAAACCTTAGTTAGAAAGCTATATGCTTCTTAAATATTTATTAGCCTGACATGGCCTTGCTATAGAGCCCAGTATGATTTTAACCTCAATATTCTTGCTTTAGATTTCCATGAATTGGGATTACTGGCATGTGCCATCATACCTGGATTTTCAAACATTTTTTTCAGTTCTGGGGATAGAACCTACACACACTAGGGAAGCACTCTACCACTGAGCTGTATCTCCAGCCCCTTTTAACCTTTTTTTTTTTTTTTAAATACGGTATTGCCAAGTTGCCCAGACTGGCCTTAAACTTACTCCATAGATGAGGCAGGTCTTGAATGTGTGATCTTCCAGCATTAGTCTCTAGTAGTTGGGATCACAGGTCTGACTGTTCCATCAAAGGAAATATGTATTAAATGGACAGAATATGTATATCTTTGTTAAAATTGATCCATAAATTGGCCTGAAAGGCACAGAATGCATATGATCATAGCAACCAAGATGACAGTGTTTTTACTTTCATTGTCCAAGTTTCCTTTGTCTTTTCTCTCCCTTCATTTAAAAAATGTTCTTAAATCTGAAGAAAGAAGGGAAACTGGCAAAGTTAGAGCCTATTCCATTTATTTTGTAATGATCTGTTTTTCTCAAAGATTTAAGCAGCATTTACCAGTATGAATAAGATTAATTATTACAATACAAACCAATTTGAAAATTGGTTTTTAAATTGAGCCTTAATATGTAAAATCTTATGTTAATGTGCAAATCCGACTATATTCAAGTGCAGTTTTCATACCCATACCAATTGTCTTGTAATAATCAAGAATGCATCCTCTGTGTGGTATTTGGAAGTTAATACTATTTTAGAAATCACACTGGTATATATAGTGGCTTCCCTGGGTGTATGTGGCTCATTATTGATCATAATTTTATTTTGAAATTTTAGTTTAAGCAGATAGGGTAAGCCCCTTTCAGATTTTTAGTGGTTAGAGGAGTTTTGATGGAGGATTGGGATATATGAATGAGGAGGACTGTTAGAATGAACAACATTGAAAGAAGCTCAGATAACAGTTCATTAGGTGGTAATAAAAACTAGCACAGATTCACATGGAGAACAGGAGACAAATAATTCCTGGGAGAAATGCTTTCAAAACGTAACCGTGAAACTCTCACAAATACAAATAAATATGTGCATTGTAATGAGAAGGAAGAGTCCCAGGTGTGTGGATGAAGGGGTTTTGGTTGAGTTCTAGACCCAGTGGTGCCGACTGTGCGTTGTGCAGAGGGCTGCTGTATGCTTAGCACGTGTGAGGTCTGCCTCCTCTGATATCTGTCTTCCAGGCTTACTCTGTTTCCCTCCATCACATTTTTTTTTATGTACTTTCATCTTTTCTGCCTCTCATATATCTCAAATTGAAATCTCCTTCAGAATGACACTCCTTTTTTACTCATCAGCTTAACCAAACACTTAATAAATGCACCAGAGCTCTAAAGAAAAACATAATAGTTAGTAAGTCTTAACAGCAAGTTTCTTTATATTAGGAATCTTTTTGTTTTGTTTTTTTTGGATATTCAAGACAGGGTTTCTCAGTGTCTATGGAACTAGTCCTAGAACTCGCTCTATACACCAGGCTGGCCTTGAACTCACACAGATCAGCCTACCTCTGCCTCCTGAGTGCCGGGATTAAAGGCATGCACCACCACTGCCCATCTTATATTAGAAAATTTTAATGTATAGGGATTTAATGCTGAATGAATGTTGTTAGACTATAAGTTCCATGAAGGAAAGGTTTTTTTTTTCTTTTGTTTTTGTTTTTTGATGCCAGTTTGCTAATAGCTTTGGCTATCATGGTATTCACTGTGTAAATTTAAACTGATCATGAACTATAGGCAATCATCCTACCTCGGTCTTTCAAGGTCTGGGATTATTGTTGTGAGCCACCATACCCAGCTAAGAAAGGACACTTTTTTAAAGGCTAGGATTATAACTCAGTGGTAGATTGCTTGTCTATTATGCATGAAGTTCTGGCTCTGTCGCAAGTGGCACCAAAAAGCAGTTTTCCTTTTGTCCATTGTTGTATCTGGTGTCCAGAATAAGAAAACCATTCAATAAATACTTACCAAATAAATTGTAAGAATATTTGCCCTAAGAAAGTTTAATGTAACTAACTTATGAAAGTTATTTCATTGAAGCATGTTTTTGTTTTTTTTGTTTTATTTTGTTTTGAGACAGGGTCTCACTATGTAGTCTTGGCTGGCTTGGAGCTCAGTATATGAGACAAGCTGACTGAAAGGAAAGGCAGTGAAGCATACTTTTTTTTTCAATTAAAATTTTCTTTGAGATTTTATTTTTATTTTGTGCATATGGATGTTTTGCCTGCATGCATGTGCATACAGTGCTTGTAGAGGCCAGAAGAAGGCATCAGATTCTGAGGGACTGAAGTTACAGTCATGTGGGTTCTGGGGATTGTACTCCCATTGTTCTGGAAGAGCTGCCAGTACTCTTAACAGCTGAGCCATCTTTCCTGCCCAAGAAAAGCATTCTTGGTTCCTCAGTACAGGGCAGGGATTCTCAAGAGATAGAATCTTTAAATCCTCCTGACTGTCCCCTTTGTTCTCTTTTCCCAATGAGTATTTCAAGTGCCGGGATCATCTGGACAGGATTGACATTAGTAAATATAGTGCCAGGGAGACAAAGACTTAAATAATAGCTGTAGATGGCAGAAGTAAAGAGCACGGGAATTACAAATTTAAATATGTTAGGGCTCAGATAAGCATTTGAGTAGACTATCAAAGTAGTTAGCTAGCTGAAGTGGCAGAGCCAGCTAAAGGATAGAGAAGGTGAGTAGATAAAGGCAGCGAGAGCAGATCCGATTGATAATGTGCTTGGTTTCATACAGCCAATCTAGGGAGCCGTTGTGAATTGCATAATATACCACTGAAGACAACTATTCATTTAGCTGCTGTTTGTAAAATAAGTTGTAGCTTGAGGTAAAGAAATTCTGGAGTAAATAGAATTCGCTGCTGTGGGTGATGTCACCGTTTGACTTGTGTTTTCTAGTGATGCCTTTAGCAGATCTTTGAAGTTCTCCATCCCCACTTTGTGAAATAGGGATGATGAAGGCAGGAGGAGAGTTCTAGGAAGCAGTAGGTATGGATTCTAGTCTCTACTTTCTGTGCTATTTTCTAAATTCATGAGCATGAATAGACAAGTACTGAACTGTAAAATGAGGAAAATGACCTTTAAGCAGGAGTCTAGATTGGATCATATTTGGAGCTTAGCAACTGTTATTATATAGGCAGTTTGAGTAGGGAATACTGTATCTTGCATCCTGCTGCAATTTCTGCTAATTATTTAAAGAAATAAAAGAACCAGCCAGGCGGTGGTGCTGCATGCCTTTAATCCCAGCACTCAGGAGGGAGAGGCAGGCAGATCTCTGTGAGTTCGAGGCTAGCCTGGTCTACAAGAGCTAGCTCCAGGACAGGCCCCAAAGCTAAAGAGAAACCCTGTCTTGAACCCCCCCCCCCCCCCCCGCGAACCAGAACATTGTCTCACATGCTGTGAATAAATGACTTCTCTATTTTAAAATCTATCTTCATTGAGTGTGGTTGGGTACTATCATAGTGCTCAAGCTAATGGACAAAACTTCACCCGGAGTATTTTTAGAGAAACATGACGGATGTAGGCTCCATTCTGTCATACATAGTATCTTATGAAACTAAACAGAGCTCAGGGAGATGGTTCAGTCAGTAAAGTGCTCACCAGGCAAACGTGAGGACCTGAGTTCCAGCTCTTGCATCCCTGTTAAAAAACAAACAACCTGAGCATGTGCTCTTATAAGGCAGAGACAGGAGGATCCCTTGCTCTTGCTGGTCAGCCAGCCTAGTCTAGTCAGCAAGTCCCAGATGAGACGTCATCTCGGGGGAAAAAAGGTGGATGACTCCTGAGGAACAACACCTGAGGTTGACCCCTGATTGCCACACACACACACACACCTGCAAACTACCCTCTCCTAGCCTCAAAGCACAATAATAACAATGTTTAGTGTCATTAGAACTGGTAGTTTTTTGCCTACTGAATACACTCTTCTCTCCCATAATTTCTTTGCTAAAGGTTTTAGTACCTCAGCTTTCAGAGTCCCTTCTCTTCTTCCCGTTATTTTGTTTCTGTTTGAACTGCTTCTTGTCCTGCCCCCTTTAATCCATCTGGAAAGATGAAGAGGCAGCTGCTATGGTTGGTTAACTGTGCATTTTGGTTAATGAATAACAGACTTAACCAGCTACATAAAGCATATGCAAACTGTGCAGAGTTAGCTGCTGTTGGGGCCCTAGGGATACAATGCTTTTTCTTTTCTTTTTTAAAAAAAGTTCTCCCCTGTCTCGAAAAACAAAAAACAAAAAAAAAGTTTTTATGGTTTTCATGTGGTATTTTGTTTTCTATTTTACCATTCTTCATATAGTAATGCTACCACAAAGTTCTCTTTTTTCTGTTTAGTCTATATTATTTCTGATGATTTATAGAAGGTGGGTAAGGTCCAAAAAGGAAATGGATCAGTCAATTCTGTTTAAGAAGTAATTTTCCTAGTTTGGGTATAATCGTAGAAAATGGGGACAGCTTTTGTGGCATACTTGGTTTTTGGAACTCTAACTTGTTTTCTCTTTCTTGCCTTTTGGCTACTAGGGCTCCTTTTGGGTTTCTCTGGAGTTAGAATCACTATATATTATGTTTCTTGAACATGTTTCTTTCATAGCTGGGCGTAGTGACACTTGGGAGGCAGAGGCAGGTAGAGTGCAGCCTGGTCTACACAGCGAGCTCTAGGCAAGCTAAGGCTACATAGTGAGACTGCACCTTACCCTCTCCCAGTGTTTCTATCATAAAAGCCAGCTACAACTTGAATATTGCATTCAACCAACCCTTGAAAATTCCTGTAATCTGCCATCCTGTCTCATACTGTCCCATCTCATAGTTGTCCTCTCTCTGCAGTGCTCTATGCCCAGGTCTCTGTGGCTGGGCTGCTCCAGCCTGGCGGACAGCATGCCTTCGCTGCGATGCCTGTATAACCCAGGGACTGGCGCACTCACAGCTTTCCAGGTACTTTCTCTGTCTCTGTGGGTTGTTGGTGGGGTGTGTGTGTCTAATTCATTAGTATGTCTGTCTGTCTGTCTGTCTGTCTGTCTGTCTTTCTTTCTTTCTTTCTTTCTTTCTTTCCAGTGCTTTACTTACATCCACCTCTTCTCCATTATATAGCCTGTATTTTACATCACTCAGTATTTCTTTAATGACTTACTTTTAATGTAGACCCAAACTTAATCTATTTTTAAAACATCTTTATCATAATTGGCTTGTCAAAATGGACATAGCACAGCTTGGTGGTGGGTTTCAGATCTTAAAGAAGTATGATACTAATTTTTAAAATAATCTAAATAGCAATTCATATTGTACTGTTTACTCTGGATCTTCATAAGATCAAATCATGTGATTAGATGATTGAAATTAGATGTACACACATTTTATGTTTTTCATATGATAACTGCTATGTTGAGAATGCTTGAGTTACTATGTTACTATCCATGCGTGTATAATTTATCAGAACTACTTGTTACTTGTATCTTAAAGATGGTTTCTAGTTTCAGAGTGGGAAAGCTGTAGATACTTTGTTCATTTTGAGACAGTCCAGTTGTCTTACATGATTGATGGGCTCTAGCTCCTCTCAGTCTTTCTTAGAAGCCAAGAGGTCAGTTCCACGATGTAAGAGAAGCTATAGAAAAAGAGAATGGAACGTTGGAGAGGAAAATGAAAGAATTTGGTGCTCAGAGCTTATGGACTTAGTGGAAGTGTTGTCTATTCACTTCAGGTATTTGGAATTTGTGTTTAACATTTTATAATAATATTAAAAATAGTCCTTTTTTCTTTTTAGGTATATTTTAGTTTTATTTATGTGTATGCAGGTGCCTAAGGAGGCCAGAAGGGAGGGTCAGATTCCCTGAAGCTGTTGTGTCTGACAGGCAATTGTAAACCACCAGACATGGGTTCTGAGACCCAAACTCAGGTCATCTGGAAAGAGCATTAAGCTATTCAGCTCCCTAAATTGTTTTTTTTTTTTTAAATTTGTGTGTGTGAGAGAGAGTGTGTTGTGTGTGTGTGACAGGACTAAGCTCTGTAGAACAAACAGGCTTACCCCAAAGCTGAAATTATAGGAGTGGGCCACATGCCCAGCTATTTACCTAGTTGTTTTTGTTTTTTGTTTTTGTTTGATACAGGGTCTCATGTAGACTGGGCTAGCCACAAACTTACTAGTAGCCAAGGGATGACCTTGAATTTCTGACTTTGCCCCCACCTTCCAAGTGCTGGGATTATAAGTGGTTACCACCTCACATCACAAAACCTGTTTTAAATAAGTTTTTAGGGACTGGAGAGATGACTCAAATTAAAAGCACTTACTACTCTCACAGAGGACCCAATTTTTGTTTTGTTTTTTAAAGATTTGTTTAATATGTAATAGTGTTCTGCCTGCACAGCAGAAGAGGGCACCAGATCTCATGATAGGTGGTTGTGAGCACTGAAATTGAACTCAGAACCCTGAATAAGTAGCCAGTCCTCTTAACCTCTGAGCCATCTCCAGTTCTTACCTAGTTGTTTTTAACCTATGCAGTTGATTATCTGTTCAGAGGAAATTCATAGACAAGCTGTAACTAAATATGAAAGTACCCATGGTTGAGTCTTACGGAAAGGAAGTAAGTGCTGACAGTTACCAGTCTTCAGTGATACTATTTTATCAATGATCCTGCTGGAGACTTTAATTTTCCTTTGTACAGTTTAATGTCAATCTTCCTTTAATTATACTCTAAAACTGTAAAGCATGTTGACTCTAAATATAGGTGAATCTTTTTAAATACATTGTCACTGTTTTAGTTAGGATTTCTCTTACTGTAAAGAGATATATCATCACAGCAATTTTTAAGGTTTATTTATTTATTATGAATAATATTCTGTCTGTATGTTTGTCTGCACGCCAAAAGAAGGCATCAGATCTCATTACAGATGGTTGTGAGCCACCATGTAGTTGCTGGGAATTGAACTCAGGACCTTTGGAAGAGCAGTCAGTGCTCTTAACCTCTGATCTATCTCTCCAGCTCTGACCACAACAATTCTTATAAAGAAAAATATTTAACTGAGGCTGCGTTACGGTTGTTTAGTCTGTTATTGTCATGGCGGGAAGCATGGTGGCACACAGGCAATGTGATACTGGAGAGTTTCCTGAGAGTTCTACATCTGGATCAGCAGATGACAGGGTGAGAGCGACACTGAGCCTGGCTTGAATATTTGGAACCTCAAAGCCCACCCCCAGTGGCACACTTCCTCTAACAAAGCCACACCTCCTAATAGTGCCACACTCCCTGTGGGCCTGTGGAGGTCATTTTCATTCAAACCAGAGTCACTCACTAGTAGTATGAACTTGAATAAATTGTTTTATTCTGATGCTCTTTTTTTTTTTTCTGATGCTCTTTTTTAAAATCTGTTAAGTGGTGACTGTGGACATGAATGAACACATGGTAATAGTTGTTGCTTTTCATCATCATCATCATATACATTGTTGCTTTGTTAGAGAGTATATATAATAATCTGAGAGTGTTAGTTCATCTCAGAATGAATTGTCTTATTAAGTTTGTTTTTTGTTCATTTTTTTAAACGATGTGTCCTGCTGAGGAAAGTACTGACCTAAGAAGAACTGAGTCCAACCTATTGCTGATTTTGAGTTTTCTGGTTTTGTTTTGTTATTGTTTTGTTTTAGACAGAATATCGTTTTATAGCCCAGGTTGACTTGGAACTTTAGTGCATCCTGCCTCAGCCTTCTGAATCCTGGAGTTATAGGTGTGTATCACCAAGCCCTGCTTGATCCCTTTGGTTTTTAGATGGTTTCAATGAGTTTGACTAGCCTGCAAAGTCTCAGGGAATAGGCTCTTTAAGATTGGCCTCGCTTTAGATGCATGTAGGGGCTCCACAGTCACTCTCTGGTTTGATCATTTATTTGAAAGTATTCAAAGAATTTTCTGAAAACAGTGATACAGTTTATTAACAGGAAAAGGATACAGGTTAAACTTATCCAAAGGAGACATCCAAGGGCCAGAGAGATGGATCAGTGGGTAAGGATTAGGAACTTGAATTCAATTCTTGGATCTTTCAAGGTAGCAGAAGAGAACTTACTCCCCCAGTTCTCGGTTGTGTACACACACACACACACACACACATGCACAAATGCAGACTCACAAATATTTTATTTTATGTGTATGGGTGTATGTCTGTGTACCACATGCATACAGTGCTTGCAGAGGCCAGAAGAGATTGTTGGTTCTCCTTGGACAGGAGTTACAGATAGTTGTGGGTCATCATGTGGGTACTGGGAATGAAACCCAGTGCTCTTAACCACTGAACCATCTTTCTAGCCCTAAATAAATAACTTTTAAATAGTACTTAATTAAAAAACAAATAAACAGCCGGGCGGTGGTGGCGCACGCCTTTAATCCCAGCACTCGGGAGGCAGAGGCAGGCGGATCTCTGTGAGTTCGAGACCAGCCTGGTCTACAAGAGCTAGTTCCAGGACAGGCTCCAAAACCACAGAGAAACCCTGTCTCGAAAAACCAAAAAAAAAAAAAAAAAAAAAAAAAAAACAAATAAACAAAACCCGGAAGAGACATATAGGAAAGGATCTTGGAGGAATTGCAATGTAGAATTTTTAATCACTCTTTATTTGTGGAACCATGGATGGTATTACAGTCTCCCAGCCACAGTGTATGGTGATCTATACCAATCTTCAAAGTCATATATATTGTGACTTATTCACTTACTACCTGCATGGCTGGCTTTTAGTCTCCAGCCCATCCCTGTAGGCCACACTAAGCCTTTCTCCTCTTGGCGCTGAAACTGATACAGTGTGACTTCAAGCACTCAATGTAGATTGTATTTCTAGTATCTAAAGTTTCCAGGCAAACAGAGACCCTTCTGTCAGCAAGAGTTCAAGAAGCCTAGAGACCATCTCTTGGTAACCAAGGGCAAAGGCCAAATTTCTTTTTGAATAAGGCTAATTCTTCACTGCATAGGTGTCATAACCTATTCTGTGAATGTGATGAGACCTATTTATTTTTGTATATATAGAAGCCCAAATTTCATAGTTTTGCATGTGTTTATGTTTACATATGTGTCATATTTTATGTTATTTTTATATTTATATGCCATTGTGAAATAAGCAAGAGAGCTATGAAGCCACATCATCTCAAAAGCATAATGTCCCCAAACTGATTGATTCTATAAAGAATGTGTAGAAAAATTGTAGATTGTTTACGAGAGGAACCTGCCTAGAGTTAGAGCTAAGTGGTAAGGGCATCTGCTTGTTGTGCAAAGGGCCCTACATTCTATCTGTAGCACCATAAATAAAACAAGGTAATCATGGTCTAACTTCAGAGTTGGGGTAAGAAGGATCAGGTAACCTGTGTTGAGAATCTAAACAAGTGGAAATCATTTAAACAGAGAGTTAGACTGAGGACAGGTATGGCTCGGTGCGTTAACACCCCCCCCCCCACACACACACACAAACACACAAGACACAACTATTTCAGAGACTACAGAGGAAACAGGAGAAACTTACTGAGAAAGGCCTAAGGAAGCTATTGATCACCTAATCACTTAGGACTCGGCATCATGGACAAAGGTGCTGGAAGGATTTGAGCACAAATTTGACCTGGCTGGATGTGTAACACTGTGGTTATAGAAAGATTGTTTCAGTAACTTGCCATTTTTGTTGCTTGGTTTTTTTGTTTTGAGGTAAGGTCTTATGTAGCCTTTACCTATACCAATCCTCATACCTCTTCCTCCAGAGTGCTGAGATTATAGGCTGTGCCACCATACACACAGTTTTACTGAGGGGAAGGAGAAGGAGCGGATGTGGGGGAGAGGGGAGGTAGGAGAGGAACTAGGAGATGATTAGGCTGTAATATGTGAGAAAAGAATAAATAAGAAAAAAGGCAAAAAATTTTTGAGAGACCGAAAACTAATTTTAATATTTCTATGATAATTATTGTTCGAAATGAGAGTAG